AAAGCAATCTGAGTCTTCCTCGTTCCTCCATAATGTGGATTATGAGCTTCCTGTCTGGTCGACAGCAGAGAGTTAGAGTGGGCTTCCAGACATCTACCACCCTCACTGTCAGCACTGGCTTTCCAAAGGACTGCATGATGAGCCCGCCTCTCTATTCAATGTACACACATGTATGAACCTTTATCAACCACAGTAACGCTATTGTAAAATTATCACAAAAAAAAAAAAAAAAAAAGCCAAAATTTTGGGCTCATTTCAAGGTGTGAATAGTCTGTTTACAGAGAATAGGTGAACCATTTGTGACTGGGAAATAATCTGTTCCTCAATTCATCAAAGAAAAAAAGAGCTTATAATGTGAAACTTTGATAAACAGTTTAAGTATTTTCTCCCAGATACTTCTGTATTCATCAAGCAAGTAATATATAAATAAATAAATAAAGCCAAAATTTAAAAAAGAAAAAATGCATTAACCTGGTTACATAAAAATACAAACCCTTAATACTTTGCGGAACCATCTCGTGATTCAGTTTCGGCATTCAGTCTTTAGAGGGAGACTAGTTCTCCAAATATTTCGGTTCATGACGTGACCGAGTGTCTAGAGCCCTCTGCTGGTGACTATGCATATTTTCTTTCAAATTTAGCTCTGGATTCCAGCTGGGCCAGACCAAAAAGTTTATCCTATCATCAAATCCTTTTTTTGTTGTTTGAGGTATACGTGGGATCACTGTGATGATGAAAAATAACGTTTGTCGCCATTTTCAGCTTTCTACAAAAATACTTAAAAGCTATTAGAAAATGTTTAATGGTATTTAGCACTGCTTACATTTGTCCCACCTTGTCAACAAGTATTGTTCCAGTGACACAAAAAGCAACCTCAAAGAATCATAATGCACCCTCCATTTTTAACTGCGAGTCTGACGTTTTACCAGTTAAAGGTAATGCCATTTTGGTACTAAACATCCCTTTTGGAATTTTTCCTAAAGGTTCAAGTTTTGTTTCATCAGAACACATTGTATTTATCCATAAGTTTATATTGACGTCAATGTATTTATTAAGTAAATAATTCTGTCTACCAGTCTTATTTAGTCCAGACCATTGATGGCCAATATCAGGTCTCAAATGCTGCTGTCCAAATACAACCAATACAACCAAATCACATGAATAGTGCATTTATAGGAATCTGCACAATGTGATAACATTTGAATCAAATGTATTGGAGCAGAAAAACATTTGAAACAGGCAGAAAACCAGCTCTTGAAAACAAGCTTGGCAAGTCTAGTCCAAGTAAAAATGGAGAAAACAGGATTTGCTGGTGGTCTCCTGGCGGCTTTCATGATCAGTATCCGTCTTGTTTTTTTTTTTTTTCATGAGCATTGGAGAATTGTTCAGTTGAAAATTGAATGAACTATTCGACAGCTGAACTTTAATTGAGATTCAGGAAATCCAATATGACTACTTGGCACATAAGAACCTTTAGAATCAAAGATAATGTACATTTTAAGACGTCCTCAGATCTCAGGAAAACCTCCTCACACATTAGAACAAACGGCCTCCGATGTCAGACCGTTGACAAAAAGCCATCAAACCTCTGACAAAGAGGTCTCCGAAAAAATGGTGGCAGAACAAAAGATTTTAGGGGTTGCAGAGAAGTTGGCAACAGGTGGGAACCATGGTCAGGTCAGTGTTACGGAGTGTGGTTCATGAGTTAGTTAGTTAGTTAGTTAGTTAGTTAGTTAGTTTTCCCTGTAATAAATCTACTTACTTTTTCTCGTGAATCATTCTCAGGTGGAAAACCACTTACAAGCTTACGTACTACTTACAAAATTGTACCACTTATTTTCATAAGTGGTGCCTAAATTCGAGGATTTGTAATATTGTGAATAAATATGTTTTTATACATATACATATTCTAAATTTGGTTTGATCTTGTTTTGCTGGAACAAGTTTTCATCAACCAAACGAGGCATCAGAGCTTGATTTATGTCATCGAAGCATGTCAAATAGTCAGTTACAAATAAATGACTGAGGTATAAATATATCAATTATTTCCTTTTGCTTTTAGATGTGTACAGTAACCAATATTTGTTTCAATCTGCATTACATGTAACTAGCTTCAAGCTGTATGAGTTTCTTACAACTTGGTATGATGTTGGTCGTGGCCACTAGATGGCAGTGTAGCCTTGTTTATTGAACGTAATCGTCTTCACGGAAGTCCATAATCTGCAGAAGTAATGTGTGTAACGTCTGTGTTGGAGAGTTATTGGATAAAATCAACAGAAACCTAATATAATAATTATAATTCAGCTTTCCATTCTCTTAGACATGTAATGTGCTGAAATTTGATTTTTACCAAGTCAACACAACATTCTATACAAGAGTCCTGAATTGCACCAGTCTGTGTTTGAAATGTACACAAAATGATTATGAAACTTCATTAGGATCAGGATTTTGCTTAGATTTTTACCCTGATAATTCCTGCCCATCCCATCCCAAATACAATTTTACCTGCAGCTTTTCATGACATTTTATAGTTTATTCTTTTCAAACGTCTTATACTGACTCATCCTCATTGCTATAGACATGTTTTTCCTGGTTGGAAGAAGTTTAACTTGACAGACAGTGAGGTAAGCGCAGAATCATTTTTCTCACATGTAGCAAGAAGCTGAAGACGCCAGTGGCTGAATTTAGACCTGCAGCCTGTAAACCATCTGCATACCTGTGTTAGAGATGTGATGCAGCAAACCCAGAGTAAAAGCCACGTCTGCTTTGTGTTTGTGTGACGAAGCAGCTCTGTGTCAGTCTCATCTGTTTACTGCCCACTGGAAATACCACGTCCTTACATTACCAAAGCCTCGGATGGCTCATTTGTTTATGTGGCGTCTGGATGTTGACAGGCCTGGATGGTCAGCATGGAGATTGTCAGTTGTGCAAAACAGCCTGGTGGTGGCAATGACAGTCACGTAATGATGCCTAAATTTGATTTAAAAAGTCTTTTTAAACTTTGATCCTGAAAGAGGTTTGGCCTCCTGAGGTTCACTCATTGCATCAGTCTTTTTGCTTAAAGGGTCGACTTAGCAAAAAGTGCAAAAGTTCTTCTTTAAACAAAGAAGTAGCAAAGTAAAGCGTACACGTGAGAAAACTGTTTGTATGTCTTTATATTTATTCAGTTTTCTGTTAAAAACTCACTCCTGTACTTGTTTTGCTCTGAAAAATGTATTTATGACGTGAACTTACTTTAGAAATTATTTTACACTTATATAGTTACCTAAAACAAATCTGTTTTAAACTTAAAAATTTCAGCAATACAAATGTATTTATTCTCAACCTCAAAATACATTGATGTTGATATTTTGTCTTTTTAAATTACTGCTTCATTTTCTTGTTTTCACACTTATTTTTTCTTTACATAAGATGTCTGTTTTTGCTTGGTGAAATACTGGAATACTTCAAAAATTAAATAGCTGAAAATGTTAAAAAGCTACAAGCTAAAAACGTCTTTTATATCCAAGTTGAAATCTCAGTATAATTTCAGTAAAACTATTTTATGTTCGGAGAAGAAAAACAGCATCATCTTTCTTCTGAATTAAAAACAACAAAAAAAAACTACAAAAGTAAGACATTTGCATTAAACACAAACATAACTAGGCGAAGAGAGGATTTGAGAGGTAGCGCTCAGATTTAATCGCTCCACACATCTCAGTGAATATTTGCTGAAATGTTAGTATTTTCAGGAAAATCCTGGAACTCAATAGACAGATGGGATAAAGAAAAAGAAACATGTAGGAAGATTTTAGGACAAATTCTGTCCATAGGGTTTAAAATATGAAATATTTCAGCTTTACCTTACATTGAAACAGCTCCTTTGTGATCACAGGAGCATATATATATATATATATATACTAAAATACTAATAGATTATAATCCTAAGGAAAATGTCGTCGTCTTGTTTAAAAAAATGCAAATATTCAAAAAATAAAAATAAAAAAAGGGAGTCGAAGAATGTAGTTGGTACATTCCAAAAATGTTGCTCTTTTTAGGAAAACAAAATGACAACCAGGATTCGGTGTAAAAAACAAAAACAAAAGAAACAAAGAAAACACATGTTAAGCACAACAATAAAAAACAGATCTGTAGTTGGAGACGCAGCATCTAGTTTTTCTGCTTCTCAGCTCTCAGACAAACTCATTGAAAACCTCAACCGCCTGTTGTGGCTCCTAAATCAGAGCTGAACGTGACTGCTTCCTGCAACAGTCTCATAAAGGTCATCATTTATTTTATTTATTTCTATTTTATTTTTCTAGTTCATTTTCATAATCTCATAGCTATTTGGTTGTTGAATTATCACTTTAGAGGAATTTTTGTTTTTAATATAAATGTGTTCACCTGCGTCCCTTCAGTTTCAAGTAAAGTATTTTGAATTATTTTGCGCATGAGTGGTCCTATGTAAATAAACCTATCCTGTGGTCAAAACCAAAAGGCATAATATTTAAATTGCCATAAAGATGATGATTATGAAATACGTTAAATTTAACATTATTTGATAGAGACAAAATTTAGATCATACTCTGAAACCACCGGGTGTCTACAGGATATTTGATCTATTTTTAATTGTATTAATTTTTGCCCATAAATTATAAATAAAAAGGTGGTGGTGGTGGTGGGGGGGGTTAAGCCTGTTTGTGCGGTCCAGGTTGAACATAACTGATGTTGATTAACTCATTTGATCAATTCCGACGAATTTTTCATAAAATCTTCAGTAGATGTCAGGCGTATTTTCACCCTTCACTTTTGAACACGATTTTCGCGGTGTTTAGACGGAAATTCATTTCTTTTGAACGAATTTTTGCCCGGTTTGAACACGATTGACCCACATTAATTATCCGCCATGACTTGAAGAATAATGAGTCTCTGCGGCCAGTCTGTGATTATACTTTCTGCTCTGCGTTGGAGGCTCATCTCTGCTGTCCCTCCTGTGTTTGCAATGATAGGGGCATAAGTCCTAAAATATATATCAGCTTTATTGATACCTTTTACAAAGTCAAAAAAAAAAAAAATAAAGTTGGCAATGGTTATACAATAAGTGCAAGATTTGTTGCAGTTCATGGAAGTCTAAAGCGTTGTGTGTGTACTTATACAAATAATGTAAAAACAACAACAAAAAAATCATAGTTACATGGGTTATAAGTAGTTTGCGCGTGTTACAAGGGCAAACGCATTAACAGTCGGTGTTTCTGAGGCTTCTTTGGAGGAAGAAAGCTCGTCAGGGTTCATAAAGGCGAAGTGGTTTTTACTAAAGAGGCCTCTGGGGTTTCTTCATTCGTTTCCTTCAATGCATTTACTCCTGAAGTCCAACAGAAATAGATATATTTAAGTTGCACTCAAAAGACAAACATGTGAAAGTGGACGCGGATGCGTCCACGAATCCTTCAAAATTGACATGTCCGCTTGTTTTGCTTCTGTTTCTTCAGATGTGACGGAGCTGCAGTTTCACTGTGACCGTCGGTGCCCCCCAGCCCCCATCCCTCCCTCTGCGGGGAGTCCGAGCTCACATCACGCACGGTTTGATGTCCTGACACACGCTCTGCGGGTGGTGGTGGTGGTGGTGATAGTAGGATCCGCTGGCCGAGGGGTGGAAGGACGAGATGCCGTTAAAGTTCAACACAAAGTCCTTCCTGTCGCACACCGAGGAGTGGCTCTGGTAGCGCGGAATGCCCACTGTGGAGAGAGACACGGGGAGCAGAGTTTTAAATATGCCGTCAATGATATTCTTTGCATAAAGAACTTTTTTATTTTTTTTTTTATTTTTTTTTATTTTTTTTAGAAATTATTGTTTTTGTTTGTTTGATTGTTGTTCCTAATGCGCAGAACAATTTTCTAAAATTCTAAATGAATACAAAATCAAGAGATAAACAAAAAATACCTGATCCAGAAAATATAATAATAATAATAATAATAATAATAATAATAATAATAATAATAATAATAATAATAATAATAATAATAATAATAATAATAATAATAATAATTCAACTAAGAATTTTATCTTGTTTTATGAAGTTACAGAGAGATTGGACTTTTTTTTTAACAACTCTGTTTTAACAGCGCAGTAATACCTTTGTTTATCTGGTTTTATTGAGGTTTCCTACCATGCAACAGTATTTGTATTTTTATTATTTGTTCTATCAGTTAAAATTTTTGAATCAGTAAGGGGGGATATTTGCATATCTGTAAATGTTTTTTTTTTCTTTTATTTTTCTTTTTTTCTTTTTTTTTTGAAAACCTGATATTCATTGTTAGAAGAATGGCTGAGAAAAAGTGTATCATAAGTACGGGTAGGACATCATACTTGCATTATGACAATGAAGTAGGAAATACTGTGCCAAAATATGACTGTTGTTATTATTTCTACTCAGATTGTATCTTTCAAATTAGGTTTAAGGCCTTTTTTATAAGCTGTGCAAAAGTGTTTTATGAAAGTAGACATACCCTATAAACTCACAGATAGTGTCTTAATTTCAATTTAAAGTTAGAAAATGTTATATATATTTTTTTAAAATTAAAGGTTCGAAATTAAATAGATTTTTTTTTCTAAAAAAAAAAAAAAAGGAAAACCCAACAACTATATTTTCGAAGGCAGCTCATTAACACAACTATCTGTTTATTTTGAGTCGTTTGATTCAGATATGGTTGAGGTAATAGATGTTTGTGTCCTGTTCCCATAACGTTCCGAAAACATATTTCCCTTTTTTAAACCTGATCTGCTAAAAGTGAATTTGGAATCTGAACGTGAGCTTCTGTTTCCAGAAACAGAAAAAAAATAATAAATGCGGAGGCTTCATCGGGGGTCATAAGGACTCCAGATGTGAGCGTTTTTCAGGGGGAGACAGCAGGCTTTCTCCTGCGGGCCACAGCTCGCTGCTCTGCGCCCTTCTCCACACACAACACAGCACCCTGCGTGACTGAGCACCGTTAACCCTGCAGCTCGCATCCTCCGCTCAGTATCTGCGCAAAGTGGAACGACGCGGATGCGCTGCAGTTTATATCCACCGCCGGTGTGGTCCGACCTGCGCAGGCTTTGTTTGGTTAACCTCTGGGACCCTTTCTGGGCTCCGGCGCGGTTGACTCGCCCCCGTGAAATCCCCAGACTTCAGTAAAGTTTTACTCGGTTCAATTAAAGTAAATGAGGGTGAGCTAGAGAGGCAAACGTGTTTTATGTATTTTAATAATTACAAACAAATGGACGGCTATTAGAAAGTAATCGCGCAAAATGTACATGATGCAGACGCTAATACTGAAGGGTTTTTTTTCTAAACAAACAAACAAACAAAAAACTATTATTATTTAAACCTTTCTGCTATTTTATTATCAAACCTCAAACCTCTGCATGTTGATGGGATATTTTGGGGGTGTAATTTAATCAATTTTTAACCACCCAATAAAAACTTTAACGCTAATATTATTATTTTGCTTCACACTCAAAATCAGATCCTAAAACCAATTAAAATGAAAACTAATATGGGAAAACTAAATTTAATTACAAACATATTATCTTAAATAGGCAAAATCCAAAATCCCCCCTTCTTCGCCCTCCCTTTTTTTTTTTTTTTTTTTTAAAGATAAACATCTTTTATAATACACACCTAAATGTGGATTATTGTGTTTCATTAGATTTGAACAGTGATCTTTTTTTGTAGTGGAATGGACATCTTTACAGTTTCTCCTGCAAATGATATTTAAATGAGAGGTTTAAAAGAAAGATATTCAATTTGTTTTCTACACTAACTGCATCATATCGGACTGGTTTAGTGCTCATCAGTTTGAGTTGTGAGCTGGTGTTGGTACCTGATATGTCAGCTGAGTGGCTGTCCCTGCCGTTCTGGTGGAGGTAACTCTGCTCCAGAGAATAGGGCGACATGCCGGAGTGTAAACCGGACGACGCCGGGCTGCTGGAGGCCAGGGACTGCTGTTTGATGTAGGGCGAGCCGCCGGAGGAAGCCCAATGCGCGGACGTTGAGGCGTACGGGGAATGGCCGTCCAGTGCACTGGCCATAGCCGGAGAGGACGGGACTGGGCTGCTGCTGCTGTCCGGCCCGTACTCCCCGCTCGGAGGGACGGGACAGCTCGCCATGTACGTAGATCCGGGGCTGGGGGACATGTGGGGGACATGGTGGCCCCCACTCAGGCCGTCGTATCCTCCAGCCATCGAATTGCTCATCATGTCCAGGTTGTAGCTGTTGCTGTGACAGGCAAGGGTGGCGGATGGAGCCTGGAAGTCGAAGCTCTGCGGGAGAATAGAGGTGCCGAAGCCGATGCCGTTCATCATCCGGTACATGGGCTTCAAGGCTTGGCATTTCCTCCTGAAGCCTCTTGGTCTGCGCCGAAACGAACCCTCTTCGAACATGAACTCGCTGCCCGGATCGATGGTCCAGTAGTGGCCTTTCCCGGGCCGGCCTAGTCCTTTGGGCAGCTTGATGAAGCACTCGTTCAGTGACAAATTATGTCGGACTGAGTTCTTCCAGCCCTGATATGAACCTCTGAAGAACGGGAAGCGAGCCTGCAGGAACTGGTAGATCTCACTGAGGGTCAGACGTTTGGTCGGCGAGCTTTGTATTGCCATGACGATAAGAGCGATGTAGGAGTATGGAGGTTTCTCTGGTCGCCTCAGACCCGAGCTGCTCTTCTTCCCCTTGGCGCCCGCAGAAGCGCTTTCCGTGGCGGCCTGTGGGCTCAGCATAGCGGGGTGCAAGACGCCGGACGCCGGGCTGGATCTCAGAGGAGGCGGAGGGTCCAGCTGCTGCTGAGTGGTCTCGGTTGTCATGTCAGCTCTGACGTACAGCTGGCGTAGATAAAAGAGAGAGGGAGGGAGAAAGAGACTCAGGAGCAAAAAATATGCAAAGCTCCAGCGGCCAGTAAGCGCTGCACCACCAGTGGTCCCCAAAATCTGAGCGCAAAATGGAGAGAAATCTGTCTCCAGTTACGCACGACTCTCCCGTTACGCACGGTGCTCCTTTGACGCATGCAGAACGCACGGCGGCTACGCACTGACAGAGAGAGGAAGAGGAAGGGAGAGTGGGGGGAGCTCGGTATCCACTGGAGACTGAGTGTCCAGGGCTCCGCTGGGTGTCACACCGGCGCTAAGTGGCGCTGTGTGACGCGCCGGGTGGCCATCGACCTCCTTAAGGAGGAAGCTCAAAAACCCTGGGTCTTATTGCACGCAAGAGTCGAGACAAACAAATACCGACCACCTATCATTTCATAAATCTTTCTTCCCTCTCCGGGAGCCCCCCACCCTTTCTCCTCAGCTTCACTCTCAGTGACGAAAACAGGCTCTCCAAACCCCTCCCACACCCACACCAGAACTGGCCCGAGTCCACTCGACCGTTTTGAGCTGCGTTAGCGCCCCACATTCTCTCCTTTCCTTGTCTTCTTTCTTCCCTCCCACCTCTTCTCCTCGAGTCTGGACTACACGCAAATAAGCGATCTATCAAACCTCCCCCAGACATCCCAATCAACAGCGCCACACGCCTTCCGCATAAGGTAAAAAAAAAAAAAAAAAAAAACCCTCCTTTTTAAATGACGCAATTTGAGCCACAAAAATTACTCCCACCACAATATCTCTGCAAATCCACCAATGTGCCCAGAATATACAGCTCTTCATGCAATCCGTCCCCATTTATGAAGAATGCCTAGCTCTGTGGTATTTGTATTATTTTGCTCATAATTTCCTCCCAAAATGGCCCAGAGGATAACAAAAACAAACTGTGCCGGTGCCGGACTAGCAGAGGGGCGAGGAGTGTGAGAGATGGAGGTGGTGGTCTTTACCGTGCGTGTAAGCAAGGGGTTGGGGGTGGGGGTGGGGGGGTTGCTCTGAGTAAATGACTTTGACATGAGTGGAAGCAGGCTTTTTCCATCAAGCCCGGCCCTGGATACCACACACAGCGCGCCAGTGTCAGCTTACCGCCCCAGGGCCGGAGCTTGTCCCAGGGGCCCCGCGTTCATTAGAGAGAGAAAAGCGAAATTAGGCGAGCGGGCGTCGACAGTTTCCGCCCCTATGGAGACATCATACACAGATTTGTCCGACATGATGGAGTTCTCTATCCCATAAAGGTAATATCAACATCCGCTCTTCAACGAAGCGGTGATGAGCACAGAAACGTCAGAAACTTCAATAGCTGTGCATCATTTTCAAAAAATATACAAATTGGGATTTATTATTATTATTATTATCAAAGCACAAATGATCAGAACTCTACATATAAACTATATACCTAATTTCAGATTGATTTCTTGCCCTCACATGTTCGTTTACGTACCCTTTAAAAAATTTAGAAGGCTCCAAACAGCCGCTGCATCAACCTTTGCACTTTACAAAACAAAAGTCTGTGTGTGTGGATAAAAAACAGTTTCTCACAATGACACACACACACACACACACACACACACACACACACATACACACACACACACACACACACACACACACACACACACACACACACGCACATACACACGCACTAGTAACGGCTCCAGAAATTTCCTGTGACATCAAAAAAACTTATGACCCCCGCTGAGATCAGGATGCCTCGGTTTGCAGAGGCAATCTTTGTTCTGGGGGTCCGCTTTGAAGACGCTGATCCGGCCGCTTTTTACGGACCGCAGCTTCAGCTCAGCTCTAATTTGGTCTGTCGGAAATATCCCAGCGATCAGCGGCCACAGCTCCGCAGAGGGTTTTGGGGATGGAGTTCTGGTCATGAAATATGGAAACGTGGCCGGAGACCCAAATGAACACAATACCATCAGAATGAAAGCTTCTATTTGTTTTTAGGGTTATTCTCAGGATCTTCAGAAAAGTCCGTCATATATATATATATA